GTTTCTGATTTTCACCTTAATCAACCCTTATCGTTACCAACATTATTTCCTCAACCCTCCTTGGATATTGAACGCATGCTCCATTCTCTGGACGTTTGAACAGCCTTGGTCTATTACACCTCTAGGACAAAATGTTTCTGTGCTGCTCCAAGGCTTTTCCTCTGTTTCCAAGGACTGCACAAGGGTTTACCTGCTTCATCCTCTACCATATCTAGATGGCTTGTCTCCACGATTGCTCTGGCTTACGAACTGCAAGGCAAAACTGTCCCAGTAGGTCTGAAAGGACATTCCACTAGGGCTGTAATAACATCTACAGCTTTGCTCCGTGGTGTGGACATTTCCGACATCTGCAGAGCGTCCACCTGGTCTACTGCGTCCACCTTTGTGACGCACTGCTTTGACAGGGCAGTTTTGCCATCTGTTCTGCAGTGACGGCCCTCCTTCCAGTAAGTGAGCTTGCTAGTTACCCAATTGTGTGCATTCACAGAGGCCACAAAGAAGAAAGACAGGTTACTTGTCTGTAACCATGATTCTTCAAGTGGACATCTGTGAATTCACACTCACCACCGGCCTCCTCACTATCCGTCACTGATTATGTATATGTTAAGCTCAGGCTATTGTGGCGAATAAACGGAACTGAAGGCTGAGGCAGGTGGAGCATGTGCAATAGGGGCAGTTCTAAACTTTGTTACTTTTTTTAGAAAAGCTCTAGAACAGTGGTGTCGAACTGTGGCCCTCCAGATGTTCTTGGACTTCAACTCCCAGAAGCCTTCACCACCACCTCTGCTGGCCAGGATTTCTGGGAGTTGAAGGCCAAGAACATCTGGAGGGCCACAGATCGACACCACTGCTCTAGAAGATTACGAGAAGTCATCCAGGTGAGGTTATCTGGAAGACGAGAAGACCAGCGCCGGCGCTGTCAAGCCCAATTTTGTGAATTCACAGAGGTCTACTTGAAGAACCATGGTTATAGGTAAGTAACCTGTTTTATGCTATATATCTGTGAAGATTCTCAGTCATCCAGGTGAGGTTATCTGGAAGTGGAGTCATAGCAACTGGACTTCTTTCTTACTAGGTTGAAACATTTTGCTATTCATCCAAGTAGCTTCTTCAGACTGAAGGAGCTACTTGGATGAGTAGTGAAATGTTTCAACCTAATAAGGAAGAAGTCCAGTTGCTATGACTCCATTTCTAGATATACTTGCTATTCTATTTTTTTAAATTTGACTTTAAGGTGCAATCAGGGAGAAGGAGAAGCAACGAGCAGCAAGAACAGGGGAATTTCCAGGGCTCTGGATTCCCCTGGGTTTTACTCCAAGTCAGAGACCCCCCGGAGAAGGGGGGCAAGTTCCACAGGAGAGTGGGACTTGTTAGCAAGTGGGGGCCTTGGAACCACCGAATTTCAGATGGCAGTCTGTTTTTTGGAAGAGTTCCCTTCCTACACGCAATCTGTCTCGTGAAGTCACCACGACGGTGAGTTAGCTGCTCGGAATGGGGAGGTTTTGAAATTTATTATCTGACTACAGAACAGAGATTAAAGATCTGCTGCTAAGCTACAGCAAGTAAAAGACCAAATCTGCTATTTGAAAGCTGATAAGAAGGAGATCTCAAGCAGCATAAACTTGTAGATGCCTGTAACATCGGAGTTTTCTTTACTATGCCACAGTTCAGAAACAAAACCAACTTGCTCTTTTTCTCTCTTAACCCTTCCTCCCAGAGAAACTGGCTCTTCATAAATCTATAAAGTCAGGACTTAAGAACCCTAAATAACTCTGTATGATTTAATCTACGTGACTCTGTATCTGACTACAAGGTGATCTGTAAATCAAATAACATTAATGGATTCCCCCCTCGTAAGACTTTAAGTGTGGGAAATTTGAGTAACTAATCTGCTGACTGCTACGGCCATGGAAGGTGGGGGAGAATTATCATCACAACTGGCAATGATTCATATCAAGGAACTTCTTCAAGAATGTCAAAGGAACATAATTAATCATTTGAAAATGCAAATTGATGAGTGCAGAATGGACCTGAAAGTGACTTTTTCTGCTTTACACGAAAAGATTGAAAGCAAGGAGAAACTGCTTAACCAAATCTTTAATGAACAGTCTTCAATGCCGGAGAAGCAGCCAGAGCCAAAGAGAAACCAGAAACCAGAAGAGAAACCAGAGCCAAAGAGAAAGAAGAAAAAGACTCCTCTTTTTCAAAGGATGACTAAAAAAGACAAAAGGGGGGGGGCAGGGAAAGGAGAATGTTTCTTAAGACTGTTCCGAAAAGCAAGAATCTAGAGAGGGAGGGATGGGCAAAGCTGAGGGCAGCAATATGTTGCTCCAAAACCAGAATACTGACTACATTGGGATCAAATTAGTCAATCACATAGAAAATGTTTTTAAAAAATATTATAGATGGCATTTCAAAACTGGAAAACGCTTGTTTGTGAGGCATGTATATTGAGACATTAAATATGTATGACCATAACACTGACAATGTTGACAAGATTAGAGAGCCAATCCTGGTTTGATGACACTAGAGCTGATAAATAGAAACCAGAAAGGAGGAAGTTACTTGCTGAATAAATAATAGAAGTCACTTGGTTTAAGATAGCTATAGCGAATATATAATTGATATATAAAGCAACATGACTAATATACTATAAGCAAATTTGGCCTGATATGAAATTTAAGGTTAGACAACCGTATGTGATTTATAAACTTTAGAAATGATGATGACAATATTGGATGTTTTGTTTTAAGGTATGTATATGGAAATATCAAATATGTGTGAACCATAAGAATGATTATGCTAAGAATGGAGATCATCGAGGAATGAATAGGCCTGTGAGGATATTATGATGGATATGATGAGAGACAGATGGATGGAAATGCAGATGAGAGAATTAAAAAATATATTATAAATTTATGATGTTTAGATGCTTAATTAGATATTTAAAATAGTGATGTGGAATATAACATGTGCAGATGCACATGGAAATATTATTTCTGTAGTCAGAATCTATATAATAGATAAGCTGGTATGAGAAATACCTCTCCGCCTATATGTTTGTTTTGTTAGTCTTCTATGTTTTGTTAGTTTCATGTGTTATTGTTTTGTAGGTTTTGTAGGTATTTCTGTTGTTGTTTGTTGTAGATATGTATGTCATAAAAATAATAAAATACTTTAAAAAAACGTTTCAACCTAATAAGGAAGAAGTCCAGTTGCTATGACTCCACTTCCAGATATACTTGCTATTCTGTTTTTTGAAATGTGACTTTAAGGTGCAATCAGATGTCAGGAAGGGCATGTGCCTGCACCAGAAAGGATCACTTTGTAGGGAGCAGTCTCCCTTAAAGCAAACCTTGTTGGGAAATTGCTCTAGTTTAGCCATGAAGAGAGTGCAATTCCCCATACAGTGCTGCCTCGACTTACAAACGCCCCTACCTACAAACATTTCGACTTACAAACAGCTCTGCTCACAAAATTTTGCTTCAACTTGCGAGTGGAGTTTTGACCTAAGAAGAAAAAGGCGGGAAATTCAAACGGTGGTGAAGAGGCTGTTTCTTTGTAGCTCTTTCGCCCCAATGGTTAGAGAAGGGAGTCAGGGAACTTTTTTACTCCTGCAGTGCAGGAGGAGGGAGAGGCGGGGGCGGCTCCGGATCGCTGCTGGGTGCAGAAAACTGGTGTGCTTCCTGCCCATTTCTGGTGCTGGTCTACTCATGAGTAATGCCCACAAAAGATATGAGTCTACTCATGAATAAGGGCAGTCAAAGGTCCTGGGTTGAGCTGAAGGGCTCCTCCGTGGATGGGGCGTGCGGCAGCAGTGCAGGAGGAGGTTTCCCCGCCAGGGAGTGAGTACCGTTGGACGAGGCTTTGGTCTGCCTGATAAGGTGCTGCTTTTTCCTTTTTAGAAACTTCTGGGTGGGTTTTGCAGGGTGGCTTTCAGCTGAGGGGGATTATGTTTCTGTGCTGTGTTATTTTTGCAGTCCCAGCGTGGGAATTGCTCAGTGTTTATTTTTGGGTTTTGGTGTTTATTTTTGTTTTGTTTTTTGCAGCTTCCAGGGCTTGCTCTGTTTATTTTTGGTTGTTTTTTTTTAACCCCAGCACCTTCCGATGGGGCTTTCTTTGTGCTTTTTTTTGGGGGGGGGTATTTTTTGAAATGCTGGAACGGATTAATCCCGTTCCCATGCATTTCAATAGGAAATGGTGCTTTGACTTACAAGCATTTTGACATAAAAACACCATTCCGATATGGATTAAGATTGTAAGTCGAGGCACCACTGTACATCGTGTAATTGCCAGCTAATAGATCACACTGGACAGCTCCACAAACAGTACAAAATGCATTCTGTTTCTCTGTGTGATCACACCTTTAGTTATGTCCTTATTAATCAAAAAAGTAATAGGCTCTTATGTTATTTCTAGTGACTTACTTTACACTCTGGAAGAAGCCAATTTTGTTTGGTTTATTTAGCGCAAATTCTGGCACAAGAGTTGTTGGGTCCTCTGACTTGTCCTGTGTATCATCTTGTGCAGGGGCAAGCAATTAATTTCTATAGGGGGCCACATGAAAAATCTGAACCGTGTTTGGGGGCCAAACCAACTTTACTTAGAAATAAAATGAAACAGTGATGTTATGATTGTTTTTATTTTAAACTTGTTAATCTTCACAAATACTAAAGAGTTTTTTGTGATATGTTAAAGATAAGCAACTGATCAACTTTAGACAAAAAGCTATAAATGGTTTTGATGTTCAACTTGAGCAAGTCCTTGAACACCGGACTGGAGTGACGACCAGCGGGCCGGACAGGAGCGGTTTGTGGGCTGTATGTGGCCTTCGGGTCTGATCGTGTATGATTGAGCTTCCAGCTTCGGGCCACAATTTGCCCAGGTCTGATCGTGTATGATTGAGCTTCCAGCTAATATAAATATATTGGTTTGTAGATAATAGTTTCCTAAAGAGATTTTACAAAGCTTTTATAAATTACAGGTTTTCATTGTTCTAGGTGCAGGGGCAAGTAAGAAACACCAAAACCCAGTTTGATAAGCTAAAAGTGGATGTTTGTCAGAAGGTGGACCTCCTTGGAACCAGCCGCTGTAATATGCTGTCACACTGTCTTGCAGTTTATCAGGTATCAGCTCGTTTCTTGGACTGCATAAGTACTTCTATATGGTTAACAAATGCTCTGTTGAGTTGAATGTCCTAGATCAGTGGTCCCCAATCTTGGGTAACCCAGGTGTTCTTGGACTGCAATTCACATAAACCCTAGCTAGCACAGCTGTTGGTGAAGGCTTCTAAGAATTGTAGTCTGAGAACACCTGGGTTTCCCAAGGTTGGGAACTACAGTCTAGATCAGTGGTTCTTAACCTTTGTTACTCAGGTGTTTTTGAACTGCAACTCCCAGAAACCCCAGCCAGCACAGCTGATGGTGAAGGCTTCTGGGAATTGCAGTCCAAAACTCCTGAGTAACCCAAGGTTAAGAACCAGTGATCTAGACCAATCGTCCCCAAACCTTTTCAACTTGCAGCTCCCTTTACTTACTGCAGATCCCCAATACAAAATCTTGGGTGGGGTGGGGGGAGAAGGGAAGGGGAAGCCTGGCCAGAGTAGTACTTTGCAACCTTGGGCTTCTGGGAGTTGCAGTCCAAGAACAACTGTGTTACCCAAGGCTGGGAACCACTGATATATAATAAAGCTCACAATGTTCAGTAGGTCTTACTTTGAGTAAAATGAGCATGGGATTATATGCAGCGAAACCTTGTGCACATTTACTCAAGAAATAAGCCCACTGCATCCAGTGGAACCTGTTTTCAGGCACATGTCCAACTATTGCATTTCTAAATGTACACTAAGAAGGTCTCACTGAATACGGGGGAGGGGGGCTTACCTCCAATAAATATGCTTAAGACTGCTTTAAGTCTATTCCTTGGTTTTTCTCAATTTCTCATCCAGGTAATGGAAAAGTTCCTTTCAGACCACTTTAAAAAGTGGCAGGAAAGGCCATGTAGTCCAATCCAAAGCCGAGAGTGATATCTTTATTAGACCCCTAAAATAACACAAGCAAAAGCTGATTTTTAGCTCTGCAGGAGCTCAGGCAGGATCTTACAGAGCTAATGGTGGAACAAAAGAAACCTAAAAGATCCTAAATTCATGGCCAGATGTGCAGGCCACAACTTTCTGACACCCTTTGGAATATTAATTCCAAAGAATAATATCTCCTTCCCACATCCCCAACCTTCCTTCCCTTTTTCAAATTTCTCCTTCAGGGCCTGCAATCCTGTTTACCTTTGTGGAAGAATACTGTAAGCCTTCCTGAAAACTCAGTCACACCTTCTGCCAAGGACACACACACAGGATTAGGCTGACACAGACCTCCTCCCTCCTCCCCAGCCCCTTCTTCCCCCACTTCCATTCCCTTCCGGGTCCCTGGATGTAACACTGCCAGTGGCGGTGGAGGAGGTAGGCAGTCTGGGCTTCTTGAGGTCTTCTGGGCAAGAGGGAGATGGCAGAGGATGGTGAAGGCAGTGGTACTAAGAGGAGAAAGAGCAGGTGGAGTGAAAGTTCCAGATTGTATTAGCCTCTACAGCTCACATAATACATAACATTGATGTAATCAACTGGTGGCAGATGAAAGACACGTAGCTTGTGCCCTGTGTTTGGTGAAACAATCAAGGGACAGGCGGAAATGTGGCATCAGATCCAGAAAATTCAGGATGGTGACTGGCCAACATTCTCCTATTGCTCTGTACTAGAGATTATTGTGCACAATGTCTATTTTTGCATCTGCATCTGATTGCTATTTTATTAATTTTACCTTCAGATAATATAGTTTTCTGTTCAGAGTCTTGTGTAGGCTTGTCACAGTCACATAGATCTTCCTAAAAATCACAATCATTGTTAAGGTCTATCCTCATTTTAAGATGTCAGTGTTTTTCCATACATTGATGAGCAGCTCCACGTGGCAACTTTTCCACCAGTATCTTGAGGCTGTGCTTCCTTTGAGTTCTGGGAGAATATATCGGTACAGAAATATCTTGTCTGATACACAGTCAAAAATTTATACAAATCTCTATTTGAATTTTGTTTTTTTAAAAGTCGGTATTGTGGAAAAATTAAGTTTAATTTTTATCATCTTGATCCACTGTTTGTCTGTTATTGTTTAATTTTCAGTTTGTTAGCCACCCAGAGTAATGCATTGCACTAATGAGGCAGTATATGATAGGTAGATAGGTAGATACGGTAGATATGGTAGATAGACAGGCAGGCAGGCAGACAGACAGATAGTAGATACGGTAGATAGACAGGCAGGCAGGCAGGCAGGCAGACAGATAGAGCAATTAATATAGATTCATTCATTCATCCATAATTTAAACAGTTCAACATTTTACTCATGTTTAATATACTGGCTGATGTAAGCATGTAGCAAAATAATGACATATTTCTTTCTTACGGATACTTTTAAAAGTATAACCTTTCTGTACATGTGCATTACTTTGCTTACCTTAGATGACATTTCTGCACTTCTGTGAGAAGACTGCTCAAAAGATGTCTGAAATTAAAGAAGGCTTTGCAAGTTTGCAGCCATCTTATTCTAATACATCTGAGGTGAAGACATTTCTTTTAGTTTTTAACAAAAATATCAGCTGCAGAAAAGAAATATGCTGAAGTTTGCTGGCTGCCTTGAGACCATCACTGTGTTTCCACATGTATAGTCAGTTTATCGTAAAATGTACTTTGGTGTATCTATCACAGCAGCATATTCTATGCTATCAGTGCAGACATGTATGCCAGATTTTCAGGTTTGTACCTAAAACCTCATGGACCCAAATGTCATATTTTTGGAGGCACACGAGCAAATCAGCAGTAAATTTTTATGAAAAGGGCATAATCCTGCTTGGCTGGAAGTAAAACTAACTATGGTGCTATTTGCTCTCATTTTTAGTGACTGTTGAGTAGATAGCGTCCTTATCTCCAAGAGAACTTATTCTAGTTTTCAGGGGTACCCTTCCTATTAACTCTCTACTGAAATAAATGTAGCCTCAAAAAGAAATAATGCTGAATGTTGTGTAACCAACTTATAGGGATATTAGCAGAGGGTGGATGGGCAGAGCCACTGTAGCTGTAGCAATAGCAAAAAGCAGAAGGGTTGAGGACTTTAGTGAAATGGAACTGGTAGGTACATTTGTGTTTTTCATTGTTATCAATGCATGCGGAGGGCCCAATCTTGTTCTTACTGCCTCTGATACAGTGGGTGCTGTGGCATTGTTTTTGTGTACATACTGAGATAGTCTGGTGCTATGGCCATACTCCTTAATTGGTTAGAATAGTTTGGTTCCCTCCATGTTGTGAGACTGGTAGGCAACAACAGTATTGCCATAAGGTATGACTGGCATTCATGCAGTATTTCCCTCCCTGTCATATTTTACCCTAATGTTCTGCACTGACCTTTTATTAGATATGATAGCCATTCCATCATTGTGGTCATAGCAAATCTACAGATCAAGCATAATTGTGGAATAGAATTGTTCTAAACATTCTTCAAGACAATTTCATATCTAAGAAAGTCTAATTATGAATGAGAAGGACTTCTTTCTTGCCATTCAAAAGATAAGGCAATAAGAATACTGTACTGCCTTTAGTTTTCAGAGATCAAATTTAAATATTCTGGATCAGCAGTACCTTCATTTAGTTATCAGGATAAGAATATATAGTCTTGTTAGAATGATCAAGTTTAAAACAAACATTTACCCTGTGTTTGGTAATAACACTTTTATGAACTTTTGTAGAAGCTTACTAAGCAAACTGTTGGAGAAAACCAGGAGAATGCCACGGGAGCTGCTACCATATCAAACACGGACAAGTAAGTCTTCTTGATTTAAAATTTCAATGAACAGAATGCCCCAAACTAATTATGAGAGGCATCCTTTGCACATCACTTGGGGGTGCAGCATCCAAGGAGAGACTGCTGCCTGGCCACCATAACCTACTGTATACACACTTTCCATATATGCCCAACAACACAGTGAGCAATATGCAGTATTAGCTGTCCTAAACCAGAATACAATACACATGCCTTCCTTCTGCTACTACTTTGCAATCAGTCTGTCATGCAAGAGAGTTTTATATGTAGTGGAGGGGAACATCCTGTACCATAGGTTGTCCCTCTTATTTGCTTCAACAGCTAGGAGAAAAACAGTTGTACGTATCGGAAGTGATTGGGTGCAACTCATATCTTTACATGGAAATCAGTAGAGAGATGGGAACTATGATGACCTTCCTTTAACTTACGTTGTTAGTTTTAGGGTTGCTGATATAGGCTGGATTACTTCCTGTATCTCTCTCCCACTTCTCCTCTTTCAGTTTTCTTCCTATTCTCATCAGAGATTGACTTGAAGATGATTGCTCTCTTTCATTAGGCAGCATCCAGCTCAATCATGCATTGTTTTCTCCTACCTGTTGAAGGAAAGGTAAAGGTAAAGGTTCCCTTTGACAATTTGTCCAGTCATGTCCGACTCTAGGTGGCGGTGCTCATCTCCATTTCCAACCCATAGAGCTAGCGTTTGTCCGCAGACAATCCTCCATGGTCACATGGCCAGCGTGACTAGACATAGAACACTGTTTATCTTCCCACCGAGTACCTATCTACTCACATTTTTGCATTTTGCATGCTTTCAAACCGCTAGGTTGGCAGGAGCTGGGACAAGCGACAGGGGCACATTCCGTCGTGTGGATTTGATCTTACAACTTCAGGTCTTCTGACCTTGCAGCACAGAGGCTTCAGTGGTTTAACCCGTCTAGCGGGCACCCTGTAGCCTCTGTTAACTCAGGCCTCCAGGAGTGCTCACTACTCTTCCTCTTCAACTGATGCCACCAATTATAATCAATATTTAAAAAGGACAAGTGTTTCTTCCAAAACAAAACTTGTTTATTGATATAATAAAACAAAATGAGTAAATCACAGGTAGGTAATCAAGTTGTAAAGCACTGTTTCTCATTCATTAAATCACACAGACTTTTCCCTCATTGACTATTTTGGCTCACAGGCCTTCAAACATGCTCATCACTAACTCTCAATCTATCAATCTATCAATCTCTCCATCTCCCCCTCTCTCACACACCTCACACCCCTTTTATATTTCTGCTCCTCCCCCTTCTGCACCACCCTCCGTCCCCTCATTGGCTGATGTTCCACTGCCTAGCTGTGACGGACAGGTGAGAGCAGGGCTGTATGTTACAACCCGTAACGCCACCAAGTCCCTCCCACCTGTTGAAGGAAGCAGGGGACAACTCATCATATAAGATGTTATCCTTCCATTATGTAAAATGAGCATCTCTTATCAACCTTCTTATTTCACACCCACTTGGACAGACTACTCATGCTAATCACAGCTGTCAGACCAAGGTGCATGAAGTGTTAAGTACTACCAGGTCTCTGTCACTTGTTGCTGACTGAGATAGAATCAGAGAGACTTCATTCATATCTTGAGGTGGTGTATGAAGAGAGATGGGAAGGAGGATCAGCCATAGAAAATTCCTACAGTCCTTCCTTCTTCATTTGATAAAGATGATCCTTACTGAGGTGAACCTGCCTCTTTCCTTCATTAGTCATGTTCTTGGAAGTCAGTGATAATTTCCCAGTTTCATTTCTGTTGCTCATGATTATTACAGAACAGCTTAAGAAAAGCCATGCTGGATGGATCAGACCAAAGGTCTGTCTAGTACAGCATTCTGTTCCCCTAGAGGGCAAACTCAGTTCTTCCATGAGCAGGAAATGAGTTCAAGCACATCCAACCTTTCCACTCTCCAGCAACTGATAAACAAAAGGAAAATTCCCTCTAATGTTGGGGTGAGGCATCATCATCCTGACTAGTTCCACTGATGGCCTTAACCTCCATATATAATCTCCTAAAGTCATTTAAGGGCAATGAGACAATACAAATAATACCTTATTAAATGCAAAGCTCTCTTAAGAGGGAAATACTGTACTTTCTTTTTCCTAACACAAACTTTCCACAAGCCCCATTTGGCCAATTAGCTTATCTTTGTTTTTTGTTTTTATTTAATTGGAAAGTGGGAAATAGCATGGGCTTGTTTTCATGTCTGATTTCTTAGGCAGTAGCTCTTAAAGATGTGCATGTCTGGAAGGCCAGTGTACGAGGGAAATATGCATTTCCCTTAACCAGTAATCTGATGCTAAACTGGCAGCTGTCACAATATTTTATGGCAGTAAATTCCACAGATAACCTATACATTGTATGAAGAAGTAATGTTCTTCTTCGTGGCCTCTGTGAATGCACACATATGGGTATTGTCTTCACCTGTGCTGACCCTCTCGGAAGATTCTAGAGCTAAAAGTAACAATTTGTGATCCTCCACGAGGTAAATGCTTCTCCCACCCACCATCTTCCCCAGTTCCTTTTTTCTGCCGAGCTGAACAGTTCTCCAGAAAGATAGAGCTCTTTTCCATTGCCTTTTGGCTGCTTTTACAGACTCTTTTGAGCTTTCATTTTTGTTTATTGCCTAGTTAGTGATCCTCCGCGTTCTTTGTTTGCCTAATTGACACCCCGCTGTTTTATTCCCCTTCCTTTCCTCCCTTCCCCTCCCCCCCGTCCCCCTCTTATGGCCTCTCCAGCACCTTTTAAACACGTACTACTTGTGTGAATAAAATTGCACTCTCCAATGGCCACAACCAGTGCCTTTTTTCTTTGGGTGAAGAACATCTGACCCATTCGTGCCCTGCCTGCAAAAACCTAACCAGGCTGGCAGTAAAGCAGAGATTGCAAAGACTTCGGTCTTATCTCTGGCAAACAGCCATGAATCCTCCTGCACCATCTTCAGAGGCAGTAAGATCCCCTATCCCCTTTATGGATAGACTCCCGGCTGGCCAAACTGCCTCTGATTCCACCACGTCTGTGCTACCAGTTAAGGATATTGTTGAGAAAGCGAAACCGTCTGGTAAGCACAAGTTATCCTCCTTTGACAAAGCTCGATCGCACGATCCAATCTCAAAGAAGAAATCAAAGCCCATTACTAAAAAAACCTAGGAGGGATAAATCTCTACACATCGAGCCACCTCAGCCTTCTCTACTCTCCCCTGTTCTCGAGGAGTCTTCTAGAGAAGCCCATGATTTTGCTTCAGAAGGGGAAGAACCCCATGAGAACGCGGCCCCCTCCACGATGCAGCTTCAAACCCCGAACATTGGCCTCATTGTGGCTGCGCCACAGTCCAGCCTGGCCTCGGCCCATTCCAACCCTGATTCAGGTCGGGCAGCTGAAAGTTCAGCATCTGATCCCGAGATTCCCCCTTCTCCTCCGAGAAAGAGAACGGAGAAAAGAAAGCACCTCTCCCCATTGAGGTCCGTGATATCGCAGGGCGATTATTTTCCTTTCCCGATGATGCCACACCAGTGCTTTGATCCCTATATCTGACAAACTCTTTATGAACAGTACCATGCCGATCAGCCTAAACGGCCTCGAATGACACCGGACCATTCCCAGGTCACTCCTGCTAAAGACCCACTTTGGCTCCATAAATCCACTTCTGCCCCTGCGGCTTCGATATCACCCAAACGCCCCTCTGCTCCCTCTAAGTCAGCTTCACTATCTAAGAAGCAAGACAAGGCTCACAAAGCCCAACCCTCACACTCCGCTCCACCTGAACTGGACTCACTACCATCTCAGGACCCATTTGCGCTCCTGCCAACTCAACAACATCATGCTCCCTTGACAAGAGGGTTTTGCACAGTCGGACTATCCTTCATCCCCTGGCTCCCCTGCATCCTCAGATGCACAGCATTCTGATTCTTCTCACAAGCCAGACTTGCCTACTCTACCTCCGGATACAAGGGACAGCCACCCCTCTTCTTCTTCGGACGATTTCTCCTCTTATTCTCCTCTCATCTCCCAGATGGTCCAGGCTCTACACCTTGACACCGAGGAGCCACCGTCGACTGATGCCGACCCCATGTTTGATGATATCAACCAAGAACGGTCCATACTTCTGAGTCTTGCCTTTAACAAGTCTATTCTCAAGCTTATTAAGGACACTTGGGGCAAACCCCCTTCTACCATGCAGATTTCCCGTCGTACTGATGGTCTCTACAGGACACATGGCATCGACATAGATTTTCTCAATAAGCATCCAGTACCTAATTCTATTATTGTCGAGTCCAGTCAGGCTCAAGGATACACCAAGTCTAAACCGACTCCTGCCAACAAGGAAGGTAGAAAGATCGACACCCTAGAGAGGCGGATCTATTCCTTACAATCCTTCTTCCTTAGGAATATAAGCTACCAGGCGGTTATGGGCACTTTTCAGCTATACCTATGGAATAAGGTTCTCCTTCTTTTAGAGGCAGCCCCAGAACCTACGAAGACCGATCTCATTAATATCCATTCACAAGCAACCACTCTTGCTAAATACCAAAGAACTGCTGCCCGCCACTCCGCTGAAGCTGCTTCCAAAACTCTGGTTACTTCCATATCCATTCGATGCCAAGCATGGCTCAGGTCCTCTACAATCTCTGATGACAACAAGGCTAGGATTGAGAACTTACCATTTGATGGTACCGGCCTCTTTAATCAAACGACCGATGATACCATGGAGGACTTTCATAAACGTAAGACAGCGCAGTCATACTCCACTCGGCCAACTACCTCCTTTCAGAGACCTTTCTACCATCCGGGTCAGTTTTACCCCAGACAATACCAAAACCAGAGATTTCAACCTTACAAGCAGTACCGTCCTCAGCAAACTGACAGGACTCTTCCAACTCCCCAACCTCTGATGGCATCATACCAACCTCAAAACCAACCCAGACAACGAGAATCCTTTCGTAAAGGACGAGAGGGTAAACAATATTGACAATCACTTCCATGCCTCTTCCCTGCTGTTTTTCCTTCGTCACGATACCATACTAGATTAGCCCCATTCTTCCATCGCTGGCAAGCTATCACGTCGGACAGATGGGTTCTATCCATAGTGGCATCTGGCTACTTAATAGAATTTTCTGAGTTGCCCCCTCTTGGGCTCATACGTTCCACTCTTTACTCCTCTCCCCTCCAGGGTGAGGTCACTAAACTTTTCCAGAAGCATGCCATTCTCCCGGTTCCAACCTCAGACTGGCACAACAGTTTCTATTCAAATTACTTTACAGTCCCTAAGAAAGACAAAGGACTCCGTCCCATCCTTGATCTCACCCATCTCAATCAATTCATCTCTCCCCGCAAATTTCGGATGCTCATGCTGGACTCTATTGTTCCTTTGCTTTCACAGGGAGACTGGTTCATCATTATCGATTTGCAGGACTCCTATTTCCATGTCTCCACCCACCCTGACCATCAAAAATTCCTCAGATTTCACTTCAACAACACCGGTTTCCAATACTGTACCCTCCCCTTCGGACTCTCTACCGCCCCCAGAACCTTCACCAAGTGCATGCCCCGATCACCGCCTTCCTTTGTCTCCAGGGAATAAACATCTACCTCTACATCGACGATTGGCTCATTGTGGCGGCATCATACCATGACGCCATACAGGCACGAGACACAATGCTTCACACTCTCTGAAGTCTTGGTCTTAAGATCAACATCAAAAAATCCCATTTAATTCCAAAACAAACAGCAAAGTTCATTGGCATAGAGATTGACTCACTTCGCGCCAGAGCATTCATGTCCCTAGAACGAATCAGGAAAATACAAAAAGCCATTCATCCATTCCAGTTTCAACACTCTGTCTCAGCGCACCACACCCTACACCTCCTCGGTCTCATGGCCTCGACGACATCCGTAGTCCAACATGCCAGACTCAAGATGAGATCTTTACAGGCATGGTTTCTGTCCCTGTTCAACCCAGTGACAGACCCCCCCCCATCGTTACCACTAACTGTAACACCGGAACTAGCCACCCAGCTCGCCTGGACTTACCCGCAAAACCTCCTCATCGGCAGATCTTTCTCCCCCTTGCGACTGATGATACAGGTCACAACCAACACCAGCCCCATAGGCTGGGGAGCCCACTGCCGTTAGCACACTGTCCACGGACTATGGTCAAAACAAGAACTAACACTTCACATAAACCATCTGGATCTGTTAGCAATCATCAGAGCATTTCACACCTTTCTTCCTCTCATCAAGGGACAGGTGGTGCAGCTGGCAACAGACAACACCACTGCACTTTACTATGTCAACAAGCAGGGTGGCACCCACTCTCCATCTCTCCTTTACCTAGCTGTCGACCTATGGGAGTGGTGTTATTCCAACCATATCTTCCCTATTGCTGTCCACATCTCTACCGACGACAACTTCCTAGCCGATCATCTCAGCCGGCTACCAACAAGAACCCACGAGTGGTCCCTGAACGATGCCATATTCCAGCGGCTATGCCTACGGTGGGGCACGCCTTCTATAGACCTTTTTGTGTCCGATGCCAACAGAAAATGCAACTGGTTCTGCTCCAGAACCGGAGTAGACAACACCTTTCTGGGAGACGGATTCATGATGCACTGGTCCCACGACTTCCTTTACCTGTTCCCTCCTTTACCTCTGATCCAGAGGGTAATTATCTGTCTTCGTCAAGACAGGGCAAATACGATTCTAATAGCCCCATATTGGCCCCGCCAACCATGGTTCATTCACCTGGTCTCAATGTCAACAGACATGTTCCGCCTTCCTCTCCGTCCAGATCTCCTCTCGCTCAACCAAGGGCTCATCTATCACCCCGATGTCACCTCCCTCAGCCTAGCAGCCTGGAGGATACTCCTGAAGTAAACCTTCCACTACTCTCCTGTATGAAAACAAATGGAAATCATTCCTGAAATATGCTGCCGACAATAACTTACCTGCTATACCTGTTTCTTCAAAGACCCTACTTACTTACCTCCTTCATCTCTTCAGCTTTGGTCTCTCCCTCTCCACGTTGAAGGTCTACTTATCAGCCATTATGGCTCATCAATCAGATGACTCCCCTTCTTCCAAGTTGTTTTCACATCCAACTGTCAAAAAATTCCTCAAGGAAATTAACAACATTTGTCCCTCACAGCAACGTATCACCCCCTCAATGGTCGTTGCAGGTGGTTCTAAATGTCCTGATGCACCCTCCATTTGAACCAATGGTGTGTATCAACCTAAAGCTACTCACTCTCAAATCGACTTTCCTAGCAGCCATTACCTCGCCCAAGAGGGCCAGCGAGCTTGCAGCTCTTTGAGCTGATCCTCCCTTTATCCAGTTCCACCCTGATAAAGTGACTCTTTACTTCGATGTTTCATTTCTCCCAAAGGTTATCTCTGACTTCCACCTGAAACAACCCATCATATTACCATCTTTCTTTAAATCTCCATCCTCACGACTGGAACATATGCTCCATAATCTAGATATCAGGCGCACATTAGCCTTCTATGTAGAGAGGACAAAAGTCTTCAGGAAATCCAATAAACTCTTTGTATGTTTTCATGGCCCAAACAAAGGAGCACCAGCCTCCTCACAATCCATAGCACAGTGGATAGTGCAAACTATTTCCTTGGCTTACCAATTGTCTGGGAAATCTCCACCAGAACATTTGACAGCTCACTCGACCAGAGCTCTATCCACCTCCACCGCCTTTCAACGTGGCACAGAGGTTCCTGACATCTGCCGTGCTGCTACCTGGTCCACATGTCCACGTTTGTGAAACACTACCGGCTAGACGTCAGAGCACGCCGTGATTCTGCATTTGGCAGAGCTGTCCTGTCATCTTTCTTACCATGACGACCCACCAACCGGTAAGTGTAGCTTGTTAGTCACCCATATGTGTGCATTCACGGAGGCCACGAAGAAGAAAAACAGGTTACTTACCTGTAACCATAGTTCTTTGAGTGGTCCTCTGTGAATTCACGCAAGCCACCCATCCTCCCCTCAATCTGTCACGGGTTAATCACATATTCAGTTCTTTCCTCTATACCCGGTGGATGAAATTCAGGAACTGGGGAAGATGGTGGATGGGAGCAGCATATACCTCGTGGAGGAGGATCACACCATAAAATTGTTACTTTTAGCTCTAGAATCCTCCGAGAGAGTCAGCACAGGCACAGACAATATCCATATGTGTGAATTCACAGAGGACCACTCAAAGAACTATGGTTACAGGTAAGTAACCTTTTTTTGGTATATTTCACATGACAAAGTCCCTCCAACAATTTACTGCAACCACAAGATCCATGTCTTAAATAATAATAAAGCTGGTTCCTTGTTTGTATTTGAGGGACATACAAATTTCAGGTCCTTATTCAACTCAACATCTGAGCTGTATTTCAAAGTTTTGTGCAAATATGGAGATTCAGCAAGTCACCTCTGCTCCCTTCTCCTGACAGGAGGAAAAGTCTCACTTTAAAATAAGATCCATGAAACTCAATCAGGATGTGATGACATTGATAAATAATGCAGCAAATGCTCTGGGATTGGGACAGTCAAACTGGCATTATTTCCCATTGATTTTATAACATATAGGTCAATGCAAATCGGCCTGAAATTTTTCCATCTGAATCCAAAGTTTTTTCTCTCTGCCACTAGGGCTTTTACTTTTTTGACAAAGTATTTGTATACATTCAGACAGTATAATTGCTTGTGCTCATGCAGAAAGCATCTGACACCACTGAATATTGAATAGAGAGCAATTGTTGAATTAACAAAGAGAGCACAGCAAATTTAAAATTGGTCTTGATCTCTGTTTAAAGTATGGGTTTTAGACCCATCTATGATTCTACACAATTTTCCTTCAGATGGTCTGGTTTCCTTCTCTCTTCCTAATTTTTTCATTTTTTTAAAAAAGGCTTGGTGCCATTGCTAGGGCACATAGGAGAATGAAGAGAGAGAAAAATTGAGTCAGCAGAAAGTGAGGAGAAAATTGCTAATGAGGATTTCGTCGCAGTTTAAGGTAGTTCTTGTGTAGACATGCCTCCTGCAGATCTGGATGGCCACAGCCACCCCCTCTCTTTCTGCTGATTTCTGTGTAGTTGGCTAAAGTAAATTCACCTGGAGAAACCTGACTTCCCAGGTGGAACTTCCCAGTGGAATCATTTTCATTTTTTCCATTGAGTAGTTGCACCACTGTCATCCATGCCGTGGGGGAGCAGACCGGGTAGGTAGGGCTTGTCAGCCTTGGGAGGCAGCCCATCTAGGAGAAGGAAAACTCTGATTCCAAACTTCCACTGCCATGTGGTTATATCCACTGATGGAAAGGTTTCAGGAGTTAACCTCGAGGCAAAATCCGGAGCCGGAGTCCTGGAGGCAGTTCATGTCATTCTGGTAATTCCTGTGACGTCGCTGGAACCAGTTGTATTGGCTCTTGCCTTTCCGTTGGATTATTTCAGTGATGTGGAGAGGGGGGATTTGTTGCTTGGGTAACAGCCTATCCTCCATATTATTTTACCCAGGCTTTGTGCCCTGGAGAGGACACTCCAGCTTCGCATACAGCGTCAAAACACTAGACGCTGTTCCAAGTCCTCCATATAGAGCATGTTACCATACTCTCTCAAGACTGAAGGATGCTTTTGCCTTTGCCAGTTGCAGCCTCAGTGGGACTTCCTTTTGAGCAGACATGTATTTGATTACACTGTGTTTTTGCCATTTCCTTATTACAAAACATACCACTACTCACATACAAGAAAAAGCAGGCTCCGGGTCTCAATTGTCTTGATAGCATTTTTGTACTTCCTGTGCCTGACACTTCATGTGTTTCTTTTTTTAACCCTCAAGGCTGATTTTGCTGGATGAAGATAGCTGTGAAACTCAGTTAGGTAAGATGTTTTAAGAGTTATTTTAATCAATATATTTTGCTGGATATTGCTCTGTCATTAATACAAATAGACTAAGTAGATCTACCTGTTAATTTTCTTTATTGGGTTTATGGTATGCAGTTTCATTCCCCGTCCCCACAATAAATGCATATTGAGGTAGTAACCATTATCCTCCTCCCAATATTGAACTGTTTGCTGTGTATAGGCTCAGGTACCTGTTTGTCTATGCACAGGTGTCTGAGAAAATCTGGACAGAAGATATTGTCCTTGAGTCTTGTACCCTATGTTGTTCTGCGCTTTTATTTTATTGTGCATCTTATTAAAAGCTTTATTTGTAAAGAATACAATCCTGCCTCATAGAACTGATTTCTTTAAATTAGAAATTTAAAAACTTTATAACCTTGTAGCAAGAATGGGGAACCAGTTTGGGGTCCCAGATCAGATTCCCACTGCACTGATAAACATCTGACCCATACATGCCAGGTGATGCTGGGGGGGGCATGGTTATGGTATGCACACAGCATTCAAGTCTGGGAAGCTTCACCCATATGCCATTTTCAGAAAGGACAGGACACAGACCAAGCCCCTCATTATTATCTCAGACAAGAGACTGACCATGGACTTCCCAAATCAACAGAGCAAGTAGAGTGACAGGAAACACTCGCTTTGGTAGGATATACAGTAATAAAGTAAATCCACCCCATCATTTCCCTATTCCTACTTGCAATAATGAAGGGAGGTGGGGAATGGCCACAGGGTTGCATTTTAGGGGGGCATTCCCAAACTCTTTGTGAATCAGATTGAGACCACTTATAGTCTGGATTAGGCCCACAAGCTGCAAGTTCTCATTTCCTGCTCTAGAGGAAATCAGAAAAATAAATACTGGTTGGGAAACAACTTCTTAATTCCCTCAGCAAGATAAAAATAATACAAAATAAATGCATATGCAGAGTTTTAAAATATTCCAACAGCATCAGGGGATGATGTCCTGGCAATTACATTAGGCCTGAACCTTTCTACCTCCTCCTTCTCTGAAGTCAGTATTTGACCTTGGACTTTTGGGGGCTGCTTAAATTTTTAAAAATGCAAATTAAATGTTAACATTATAGGTAAAAACAAAAATTTAAAAGAGAACAAATAAAAAGTACAAAAACATGGTGACACCTTAAAGACTTTTAAATGTGAGCTTTCGTAGATATTTAATCTTTAAGGCACCACCATATTTTTGTCTTTTTTATTTGTTCTTTTATAATTTTTGTATTTGTATTTTTACCTATAATGCTTGCACAGACTAACATGGCTACCTCTTCTACAACACTTAACGTGAAGAAGCATTTAACATCAGATATCATCCAGCCTTAAAAAGAATAGATAAAAAGAAAAGTAGTGTGCATTAAGTATAAAAAGAATAGTAAAAAGCATGAATATGGTAAACAACATGTACTAAAGCTACACAAAAAGCTGAAATCCTGTTGGTGTAATTTCCACAGCAAAATGCTTCATGATGTCATCAGCCTTATGCCCCAGAACTTACATGAACAGGATTGCAGTCAAAATTTAAGCGAGATAATAGCTATGATTATGGATTTGTTGTTTTACAGTAGTTACAGTCAATCTTCAACTTACGAATGTCCCTACATACGAACTTTTTGATTTACGAACTGCTCCGTTCGCAAAAATTGGCATCAACTTGCGAACAGAGCCTTGACCTATGAATGAAGTTGAGGCTCTGTTCGCAAGTCAGTGCCTTTTTTTGAGAATGGAGCCGTTCGTTGCCTTCCGAGGTCTCAAAGGGCTTTCCACCCGACATTGGAGGAAGAGGCCTTATATACAAAGCTAGATCTTCGATCTATTTAGCTGAGAATTATCAGTTATCCAACTGCGAGCCCCAAAGTTTTGGGCAGGATTCTTCCTATCGGAGGTCTCAAAAGGCTTCCTCCAATGTCAGGGGAAAGTCCTTTGAGACCTCTGAAGGTAATTTTTTGAAATGCTGGAATGGATAAATTCTGTTCCCATGCATTTCAATGGAAAATGGTACTTCGACTTACGAACTTTTCAATGTACGAACGCCATTCCAAAACGGATTAAGTTCATAAGTCGAGGTACCACTGTATATGGAATATTTAGTATTTCCATTGAGGCAGAAGAGTGAGTAATTAGAAAAAATGTATTATATATTATTGTATAATTATATATTTTCATATCTCCAGGTAGAACAGAGTGTTCTTTTTGACTGTACCAAATTGCATGCATCAAAACTGCAAAAGAGAACAGAGAGCACATGTAGCATTAAGAAAGTGTATTGCACATTCTGGGCAGTGAGAAATGTCAATGCATTTATATTTTCTCGAGTTTAATATGATAAAACTCAAGAAATGCATAATGTGTTAAATATTATGTTCTTTAAGTGTTATTTGTCATTTTTATGTAGGAAGAGGCCTTATATACAAAGCTAGATTTTCGATCTATTTAGCTGAGAATTATCAGTTATCCAACTGCGAGCCCCAAAGTTTTGGGCAGGATTCTTCCTGGCCCTTCTCAGAAATCTCTTGTGCTTTGTGCTGCTCTCCAGTCCAAGTACTAACAAGGCCCAGCCCTGCGGTGCTTTCAAAATCAGAAAAGTTTAGATGTGTTCAGGGTGATATGGTGTTTTGTACTTAAATATATATATAATTTTGAACTATATAGTGTAACTAACATATGCATCCCTTCACAGATTGCTACCTTGTTGTGGCAAAGGGGCTTGAGTAATTCAGAGAAGCTATGGGCTATGCCGTGCAGGGACACCCAAGACAGACAGGTCTTAGTGGAGAGTTCTGACTAAACGCAGTCCACCTGGAGCAGGAACTGGCAAGCCACTCCAGTATATTTTCCAAGAAAACCTGAACAAAAACAAAAAGCTAACAGATACGATTCTAGAAGACGAGCCCCTCAGGTCAGAAGGCGTCCAACATGCTACTGAGGAAGAGCGGAGGACAAGTACAAGTAGCCCCAGAGCTAAGGAAGTGGTTGGACCAAAGCTGAAAGGACGCTCAGCTGTGGACGTGTATGGAAGTGAAAGGAGAGTCCGATGCTGCAAAGAAAAATACTGCGTAGGAACCTCAAACATAAGATCTATGAACCTTGATAAGCTGGATGTGGTCAAACAGGAGATGGCAAGAATAAACATTGACATCCTGGGTGTCAGTGAACTAAAATGGATGGGAATGGGCAAATTCAGTTCAGAGGATTATCATATAGTAGTACAGTGGTGCCTCGCTTAATGAGCGCACCGTATAACGATGAAATCGCATAGCGATCCGTTTTTTCGGATCGCTAATGCGATCGCTCAACGTTTTTCCAATAGGGGAAAATTCGCTTTGCGAAGACCGGTAAGCGTTTCGCTTACAGTGGGAAAAGCTATACTGGGATATAATCTCAAAAATGATAGAATGATTTCAATACAAATCCAAGGCAGACCTTTCAACATCACAATAATCCAAGTTTATGCACCAACCACCAATGCTGAAGAGGCTGAAATTGACCAATTCTATGAAGACTTACAACACCTCCTAGAACTGACACTGAAGAAAGATATTCTTCTCATTATAGACTGGAATGCCAAAGTAGGGAGTCAAGAGATAAAAGGAACAACAGGTAAGTTTGGCCTTGGAGTTCAAAATGAAGCAGGGCAAAGGCTAATAGAGTTTTGTCAAGAGAACAAACTGGTCATCACAAACACTCTTTTCCAACAACACAAGAGGCGACTCTACACATGGATATTACAAGATGGGCAATACTGAAATCAGATTGATTATATTCTCTGCAGCCAAAGATGGAGCTCTATACAGTCAGCAAAAACAAGACCTGGAGCTGATTGTGGCTCTGATCATCAGCTTCTTATAGCAAAACTCAAGCTTAAACTGAAGAAAGTAGGAAAGACCACTGGTCTAGTCAGGTATAATCTAAATCAGATCTCTTATGACTACACAATGGAAGTGAATAACAGATTTAAGGAACTAGATTTGGTGGACAGAGTGTCTGAAAAACTATGGCTGGAGGCTTGTAACATTGTACAGGAGGCAGCAACAAAAACCATCCCAAAGAAAAGGAAATGCAAGAAAGCAAAGTGGCTGTCCAACAAGGCCTTACAAATAGCATAGAAGAGGAGGGAAACAAAATGCATGGGAGATAGGGAAAGTGACAGAAAATTGAATACAGACTTCCAAAGAATAGCAAGGAGAGACAAGAGGGCCTTCTTAAATGAACAGTGCAAAGAAATAGAGGAAAATAAGAGAAAGGGAAAAACCAGAGATCTGCTCAAGAAAATTGGAGCTATTAAAGGAACATTTTGTGCCAAGATGGACATGATAAAGGACAAAACTGGTAGGGGCCTTACAGAAGCAGAAGACATCAAGAAGAAGTGGCAAGAATACACAGAGGAATTATACCAGAAAGATCTGGATGTCCTGGACAACCCAGATAGTGTGGTTGCTGACCTTGAGCCTGATATCCTGGAGAGCAAAGTCAAGTGGGCCTTAGAAAGCATGGCTAAGAACAAGGCCAGTGGAGGTGAGGGCATTCCAGTTGAACTATTTAAAATCTTAAAGGATGATGCTGTTAAGGTGCTACACTCAGTATGCCAGCAAGTTTGGAAAACTCAACAGTGGCCAGAGGATTGGAAAAGATCCGCCTACATCCCAATCCCGAAGAAGGGCAGTGCCAAAGAATGCTCCAAGTACCGAACAATTGCTCTCATTTCACACACTAGCAAGGTTATGCTCAAAATCCTACAAGCTAGGCTTCAGCAGTATGTGGACCAAGAACTCCCAGAAGTACAACCTGGTTCTTCTACGTGGCCTCTGTGAATCCACACAACTGGGTTTAAACTGTGCTTGCTCTGGTTCCTTGGAATATTCTAGAGCTTAAGACAAAAAAACATTAGTAGCGCATTGTTGTCCTACCATGCATGCTCCACCTGCCCCTTCACCTCAGTTCCATTTTTCCTCTGCTATGACTGG